AAAACCTAAACAATTCTTGGATGGATGTAAGTAACATAGGTAACAGAACCTGGATGTAATAAATCAGTGCCAGCTGGATTGTTCAGATTCAGGGAAACCAGCAACCTGTTCCTTCTGTTTACAGACTCTTTTTTCTCTTCCATCCATCCTCACTACTACTACCCAAGTTCACGCCATTATCTCCTGCTTGATTTACTGCAACAGCCTCCTAACTGATCTCCCTGCTTTCAGTCCCATCTGCACCACACCAACTCCATTCTCCATATTATATATTCAAGAGTAATTTTTCTAAAATGCCAAATGGTCCATGTTATTCTCCACTTAAAACCCTTCAATAGCTCCCCACTGCCCTCACATCAAAATCCAAATTCCTAAGCAAGGCATATAACATTTCTGGCTTCTTTCCCTCGACTCATCTCAACAAACCCTCCACCTCAAACTCTTCTGGGCATCTTGAACCAGCCACAGGTTCCAAGTAGATCATGCTGTCTCACCACCGACTTTCCCCAGGCTGCTGCTTCCCTCAGCCTACTATGTCTTCAAGGCTAACTCCAAGATGCCCTACAGGATGACACCTCCTCTAACTGGACAGGTACTGTTCTTTGTGTTTCCATAGTAATAGGTACTTGTTTGTCACACAGCACTAGTAGAGGATTACAATTGTCTTTTGATTGTCTGCCTCCTCTATCTTTTTCCAAACTCAGTTCCTTCAGGGCAGAGCCTGAGACTTAGTCATTACATCTTCTATGAACAAATAACATAACCTGGGGCTGCTTGCCTAAAATAACAATCCCTGGAGAAGCCCTCAAATTATATTCCTCCTCTTCACTGTATCAGTGAAGAAACTGAAGCTCAGACAGGTGGAGTAAATCATCGAGATCACATGATTAGGGGCAAGCTGGGTAGGAGCTCCAGTCTCCAGATTCCAAAGCCCAAATAGCTGTATTCCCCAAATTCTTCTGCCTTGTCCCATTTAATGCCCACTAACTCTTGCCTTTAGATACAAAAGTAAACATATTTTCTTAAGAAGGAAGATAATAGTTTCCCTTGGTGTATCATTAAAAACAGGTTTAGTTCTTTAAAAAAAAAAAGTATCCATGTTTTAGTTCTCAGTTTGAGTAAGGAGAGCAAAAAATGATCCATGCAGGATAAAAGCTGCATTTCCTCAACTAGTCCAAGAGAGGGCAGCAACTACCAGCAAAAAGAATCACAGGCTAGACAAAACTCTGTTTCAGAACCCCATATAACACCTGAACAGCAAGCCCAATTCAATTATCAAAATGGAACTTTCTGCTATAGTATATTGAGGGTGTATGGTTTATTTATATAATACTGTATATTATCCTTAGAGATCCTATGTATACTGGTTGCAAACAGTAAGTTTTTAAAAAGTATCATTAGTTGTTTTGTGGATTCTCTGAGACAGCAAACAAGAAGTTCCTAGATTATGAAAAGTAAAAAGAACTGCCCTGGGTGGTGTGCTCAGTTGGTTGGGCATTGAAAGGTTGCTGGTTCAGTTCCTGGTCAGGGCACAGGTCTGGGTTTCGGGCTTGATCCCCAGTGGGGGGCATGCGAAAGGTAGCCAGATCAATGTTTCGCTCTGACATTGATGTTTCTCTCTCACATTGATGTTTCTCTGTCCTTTCCACTCTCTCTCAAAATCAATTTTAAAAATCTTTTTTTAAAACTTTTTAATAAGGACTCTAATCATTTCAACCCTCTAAATGCTTCCACTCTCACCACTGACCCTGTTTACTGTCAATTCTCTTCTGTCCCAAACCAACCGCTTAATTCTCCTAGCCTGTCTGCACTAAATACTTCATCTTCCTGTCCCTCCTATTGAGTTTTCCACTAAAACTTTAAACTGCAAATATAGATACTAAAGGATGTATAAATACTTAATAAAAATTTTTTAATATCAAAATCTGCGCATGAAAACAGATTAATAGAAACTTCCATGTACATATTAGCATAACCAATGGACACAGACACTGGGGCGGAGGGGGCTTGCCCGGGGTGGGAATGGTTGCGGGGAGGTGGGGGGGGGTGGTGGTCTATTGGGGAAAAAGGAGATATAAGTAAAACTTAATAATAATAAAAAAAGAAACTTCCAGGTAAAAGATGGTACACTGAATCAAAACATTTAATTTTTCCCCTTCTTGAAACTCTTCTAAATCTATAGAAAAGAACTTTTTAGAAAGAAAACAATGATCGAAGAAAGGAGGCTACAAGGTTGGGAAGAATAAGAAAAGACCAAATTCAACCAAATTTTGAAGCAGGGGAATAAATGGAAGGACTAGTGGTAAACCCAATACACCTAAGAAAGCCGAGTCCTGCCCTGGCTGAGTGGCTTGATTAATTGAAGCATCACCCCATACACCAAAAGGTTGCAGGTTCGATTCTTGGTCAGGGCACATACTTAGGTTGTGGGTTCAATCCCCAGTTGTAGTGCATATGGGAGGCAACTGATCGATGTTTCTCTCTTACATTAATGTTTTTCTCTCTCTTTCCCTTTCCTCTCTCTCTAAAAATCAATAAGTATATCCTCAGGTGAGAATTAAAAACAAAACAAAAAAACATGAGTCCTAACCAGAAGTAGGAAAAGCCAATAACCAATCCAAAGTATACTTAAGAAACCACAAAAGGCTCGTGAATTAGTGGCACCAGATAACTACAGAAATATGGGGTGGAGGGGGGAGAGTAGGTTAAAAATAAGATTGGTTGAGAGCTGTTTAAGAAGCAGATCTGTAGATATTGGGAGACTGTCCTCTCTTACTTCAGCAGAAGTCTGGACGTTTATTCTTAGAAGAGGTTAAAACAGAGGGTCTCTAGATTGGGGGATGTCAGGCATAGTTGTGGCTAGGGATCCTATATTAAAAAATAATAATAATAAGTTAATCTATGCATACTATATACTAAGACACCCAGCACTTTCCCCCTTCTGGTTTCTCAAACCCCCAACAGCCAGCCCTTACTGTTAAGGCAGAGGGTTGGAAGAGCCTTCTCTGGGGAATTGAAAAATGACCTAAAGCTACTGACATAGTCTAAGTAGGTCACCGTAGAGCTCTGTGGTCCAAAATGGTAGCCACTAACTACATGTCACTACTGAGCACTTCTAATGTGGCTACTGTGACTGAGGAAGGAATTTATAATTTTATTTAATTTTAACAAAATTTAAATTTAAAAACTAATGTTAATGTTAAATTTAAGTATATTCAGAACACCCTTGGTATGTGAATCTACTTTTTTTCACTTGTAAATTTTATGAAATCTAAATACACAATCAAGTATTTTTTTTAATTGATTTCAGAGAGGAAAGGCAAGGGAGAGATAGAAATATCAATGATGAGAGAGAATCACTAATAGGCTGCCTCCTGCACTCCTCCTTCTGAGTATCGAGCCTGCACCCAAGGCATGTGCCCTAACCAGGAGTCAGACCGTGACCTCCAGGCTCATAGGTAAACGCTCAACCACTGAGCCACATCAAGAATTTTTTATGAAAATTGAGCATCCAAATTGAGATGTGCTATAAATGTAAAATAAACACTGGAATTCAATAACTTAATATAAAACACAGAATGTAAAATATCTCAATAGCCCTGGCTGGTGTTGCTAAGTAGTTAGAGAGTCAGGTATCATGCACAGAAGGGTTGCGGGTTTGATTCCTGATCAAGAGCAGGTACCTGGGCTGGAGGTTTGATCCCTGGTCCCGGTCTGGGCGCATGCAGGAGGCAACCAATCAATGTGTCTCACATTAATGTTTCTCTCTCTCCCTCCCTTCCTCCATCATTCCCTCCCTCTCTCCCTCTCTGCTCCCCTCCCTCCCTCCCACTCTCTCTAAAAATCAAGGGAAAAACATCCTAGGGTGAGGAATAACAAAACAAAAAATCTCAGTAATTTATATATTTCCTACATATTGAAGTAATATTTTACATATACTGAATTAAACAAATGATATTAAAATTAATCTCACGTTTCTTTTCACTTTTTGCCTTTTTCTGTGGCTACTAGAAAATATATAATTACATATGTGACTCACTTTATATTCCTATTGGTCCAGGTTGTCTTACAGTAAAGTTCACAGACAACAGCCCTAGCCATCCAGACCTTCCAATCAGTTCTTTAGTCCTCATTTTTAAATATTAGCAGACAAAACTCAGGATTATCAGACATTTGAGGAAAGCTACCAATAAACGTGGGAAAAGAGAAAAAAAAACAACTTATATAAATACTATGCAAAGAGAAGAAAAAATTTTAAAAAGCATTAATATCCACAAGAGACAACACAATACCATTTAAAAAGAAACATTCAGAGGAAAAAGAACCCTTAACAGAGGTTCTCAACCTGTGGGTCGCGACCCTTTGGGGGTCAAACGACTCTTTCATAGGGGTCGCCTAAGACCATAGGAAAACACATATATAATTACATATGGTTTTTGTGATTAATCACTATGCTTTAATTATGTTCAATTTGTAACAATGAAAATACATCCTGCATATCAGATATTTACATTACAATTCATAACAGTAGCAAAATTACAGTTATGAAGTAGCAACGAAAATAATTTTATGGTTGGGGGTCACCACAACATGAGGAACTGTATTAAAGGGTTGTGGCATTAGGAAGGTTGAGAACCACTGCCCTAAAAGATAAAAATATGAGAACAGAAACTCAAGAGGAAGCTCAATAGAGGATAGGAAGAAAGAATTGAGGACTCGCCTTAAAAAGCAGAGCAAAAAAAGATAGAAAAATGAGAGAAAAGATAAAAAAATTAGATCAATTTGGGAGGTACAATATCCAAACTAATAGGAAAAAACAGAGCAAATTATCAAGAAATAATTCAAGAATAGTTCCCAGCATTGAAGGATGAGTGTCTAACACAAAGGACAAAAATAGATCACACACAAGCATATCATGGTGACATTTCAAAACACTTGGAATACAAAGAAAATTTACAAGATTCAACAGAGAGGAAAAGTGATCATATACAAAGGAATCAGGCAAGCTTTGAATTTTTTTTACAATAAACCAAAAGCTAGATGGCAATGGAACAAGGCCTTTAAAATCTGAAGAAAAATAATTTCCAACCTAGAATTCTATATACTCGACCAAACTATCAGTCAAATGTGAGTTCAGAATAGACATTTTTAAACAGTTAAACTTTCAGGAAGCTATTGTAGTATATGATCCACCAAAATGAGGGATCAACCTAAGAAAGTAGAAGACTTGAAATACAGGAAATAGGAGATCTAACACATGAAAGAAGAAAAGGAAATCCCTAGGACAAAGATTCCAGATGACAACTCTATGCCAAGGAACACAATTAAGATGGAACCATGAGACTGAGCCAGACCCTCAAAGACTGTCACCCCCATCAATCACTTTTGTTCTGGCTTTTTAAACTGACAATACCTTCTGAACCTGATCCAGATTCTTGGATTGTCCAAACCATATGGCCCACTGGTATCCTCAGAAGGGACCCTTTTAACACTCAGAAAATCTAAAGTCGGACTATGACTCCAAGACAGTATTCAGTTTATCTTCAACTGGGCACCTCCATCTAATAGTGCCAATATTGTCTACACTAATAAAAGAGAAAGATGCAAATCGACCGTACCTTCACGATGCCCACCAGCCAACCAGGAGTGAGTATGCAAATTAACCCAACAAAGATGGCGAGGTAATTAGCATGTGCAGGCACCAATGACGCAGGTGTTCCACACCGCCCCAGCTGCTCTGGGCCTCTGGTCAGTGTGGGAAGGCGGAAAGGTGGCTCTGGGCTGGAACAAAGGTGGAAAGGCTGGAGCGAAGGCAGTGCCGGCAGCCAGGGGAAAGAAGGCCCATTCTTGTACGAATCTTCATGCATCGGGCCTCTAGTCATTTACATAAAGTCTAGATTTTTTTGCTTATTTACTCAATTTTTATAATAATCTTTCATTTATATGCAAACAAATATTGATAGAAGGGGTAGGACAACATTTATTCCACAGGAATTTTTTATTCAACAGAATTAATGGGTAAATAAATTGCTAAAGATCATTAGCTGGTACAAGAAAGGAGCTTAACAAAATTGAGTTTAATAAAATGAGCTTCATCTTCTCCAAAAGATTCTTAGTATTACCTAATCATATTTTATCAAATTACTCAAAGGTATATTGCATCAAAAGTAACAGCATCAAAAATAAATATACTTGGCTGGATATGCTCTGCAATAAGACCATCAATCAACATAAAAATAAAAAGCTGTATCCTTAACTTGACTTCCAGAGTAATTCAAGGCTTTGATTCAGTCACCACATCCTAATGTAATATGTGGCAAGATAAATCTTTTGCTTACCAATCTTCAGGAAATAAGAAACCTCCTAGATACTTTACAGTTTGGTTTAAGAAAATAAAAATTAAAAAGTCAAAAGATCGCCGAAACCGGTTTGGCTCAGTGGATAGAGCGTCGGCTTGCGGACTGAAAGGTCCCAGGTTCGATTCCGGTCAAGGGCATGTACCTGGGTTGCGGGCACATCCCCCAGTGGGAGATGTGCAGGAGGCAGCTGATCGATGTTCCTCTCTCATCGATGTTTCTAACTCTCTATCTCTCTCCCTTCCTCTCTGTGAAAAATCAATAAAATATATTTAAAAAAAAAAAAAGTCAAAAGATCCTAAGATATGCCATATGAGGCCAAACTAATTAAAGTAAATGACTTAATGAGTTTTAACACATTCTGATCAATTATTATATTAAATGCAAATGAACTATAAAACTTCCTTTCCATAACTGGATTTATTGCAGTGGTGACGATGGTGTATCTATTAATACTTCAACTTTTAAAAAGTTGGTTCAGTGGATAGAGAGTCAGCCTTAGGGGCCTGCAGGAGGTAGCCAATCAATGATTCTCTCTCATCACTGATGTTTCTATCTCTCTCTCCCTCTCCCTCTCTGAAATCAATAAAAATATATTAAAAAGTGGGCCAATGGGACTAAACAGTCTTTTGAAGAGAGGTTCCCTATGTTTGCCAAGTAACAGAATTAGACCTATTATAAACTCAAGGATGTAAGAAAATTCATCCAAGGGACTGATTCATCTCTACCCAATTCCCTGAATCTTTAACTTTTCCCTCCAGTCAAAAAAAGGGCACAGAATTATCAGACAATTAAGGATGATCTCTTGGCACAAGACATTTATGTAACCAAACAAAGGTAATTAGATAGTATCCTTAGCAGCAAAGAGGTTAGAAAGGATCTAATAAGAGAATATAATTAAACATTATTCTGAACAGAGTACATATTACATAGCAAAAAGTGTTTCTAACTCCTACCACAAGAACAGTTAATCATGGACAACAATCCCACAAGCCATGTGACTAGCACATGGGTAACAGAAACCTACAATTATAAGCCTATATCTCAGCAGTTTCTAAGGTTATGTTCAGGCTAACTTATACAGGACTACAACTATATTTGAGCTCTTGACTAAGTAAATATCAAGAGAACACCATGAAGGAATGCCACCTGGCCCCTATTCTGATGATTCTGGGAGGCCACAGATCCCCGTGCCTTATAATACCTACTAGAGGCCCAGTGCACGAAATTCGTGCTCTCGGGGGGAGAGGGGATCCCTCAGCCCAGCCTGTGCCCTCTCGCAGTCTGAGAGCCCTCAGGGGATGTCCAACTGACGGCTTAGGCCCGATCCCCACAGGGAGCAGGCCTAAGCCATCAGTCAGACATCCTTAGCGCTGCCGTGGAGGCAGGGGAGGCTCTTGCCACCGCCGCTGCGCTCGCCAGCCGTGATCCCAGCTTCTGGCTGAGTGGCACTCCCCCTGTGGGAGCATACTGACCACCGGGGACAGCTCCTTTGTTGAGCATCTTCCCCCTGGTGGTCAGTGCAAGTCATAGCGACCGGTCATTCTGCCATCGGCCGAAACCACCTCTCTGACATCCCCCGAAGGGTCCCAGATTGTGAGAGGGCATAGGCCAGGCTGAGGGACCCCACCAGTGCACGATAGGGGCTGGGGAGGGATGCAGGAGACTGGCCAGCTAGGGAGGGACCATGGAAGGGCTCCCAGGCATGTCCGGCCCGTCTTGCTCAGTCCTGATCAGCCAGACCCCAGCAGCAAGCTAACCTACAGGTCGGAACGTCTGCCCCCTGGTGGTCAGTGCATATCATAGTGACTGGTTGACTGGTACTATCTGCCCCCTGGCAGTCAGTGCACATCATAGCCACTGGTCAACCAGTCAACTGGATGGCCCCTGGTGGTCATGCATGTCATAGCGAGCAGCTGAGCGGCCTTAGCATATTATTAGCATATTACACTTTAATTGGTTGAATGGCCGACCGGCCGACAGGACACTTAGCATATTAGGCTTTTATTATATAGGATAATCACAATGCAATTCAGTAACTGCCTCAGAATACTCAATTCCTACCTCTTGCTCTTCTGACACCCACCCAGTTGCTCCATGGGCTAATTCAGTGTAAGGGAAACGTTTAGTGTGGTAGGTAGAATTCTAAGACGTCTCCCAAGATTCCTAGGTTGATGTATTCACCCTGTATAATTATCAGGACTGGAAATATGATAGGCTATCACTCTTATGAGTAGTTATTTGGCACAACTGACTTTTAAGAAAGGGAAAATTATCCACGTGGCCTGACCCAATCACATGCACCCTTGAAATTTGGGGGGAGAAATTAGAGACACAGTGAGTTAGCAGTGTTCCACTCACTTCTGGCTTGAGTATGAATGGGGCCAAATGTCAAAGATTGCAGGCAGCTTCTAAGAGCTCAGAGCCAGCAAAGAAACAGGGACCTCAGCCCTATAACTTCTAGGAATTTCATCCTGCCAACAACCTGAATGAGCCTAGAAGCAAATTTTCCCCCAGCGCCTAGAGATGAGAACTGGGTCAGCTGACACCTTGATTTCAGCCCTGTGATACTGCAAACCCAGCCACCCTGTCCATGTTGGACTTCTGACCAATGGAACTGTAAACTAATTAGTAGGTTTTGTTTTAAGCTGTTGATTTTGTCACATAACAGGAGGAAACTAATACATTAAGCAAACTGACAAAATCTAGAATTTACCTAGAACTCTGACTAACATGAGTCCTATTTGGGGGTGTGTGTGTTTTCCTGGCATCCTAAAAAACTACAGGTATGATTTTGAGCTAGTCACTTTAATTATTCATTTATTAAAAAACAAAACCAGCCTTAGCTGTTTGGATCAGTGGATAGAGCGTCGGCCTGCGGACTAAAGGATCCCAGGTTCAATTCTGGTCAAGGGCACATGTCTGGGTTGTGGGCTTGATCCCCAGTAGGGGATGTGAAGGAGGCAGCCAATCAATGATTCTCTCTCATCATTGATGTTTCTATCTCTCTCTCCCTCTCCCTTCCTCTCTGAAATCAATAAAGATATACTAGTATTTAAAACAAAACAAAACAAAAAAACAGACACACCTCCTGAGATCATAAAATGGAATGGTGAGATCTCACTCTGTAAAGGAAATTGTACTGTTATTACTACAGAAAGACTTGTAAAATACACACCTGATGACTTAACTAGTTGACATTGCACTCCAAAAATAAGGCAGGAAAAAAGCTATTCCTCATCTATAAATTATACACTTAACCATAGTCAATCATTTGGCAAAAAGAACTAAAGCACTTACTCAAGCCAGGCTCTAAGTATTTTATATCAGATCCTTCTTCAGACCATTTATTGTAACTGTTTCTGTGGACCATACTGTAAGTTGTCCAGGGGCAAAAACCCTGTCTTGTTCATTTAATATGCCCAACATTTAATAAGTATTTTTAAAATTAGCATCACTGTAAAAAAAATAAAACAAAAAAGGGAAAATAAATAAAATAAAATTAGCATCACTGTAGGTTTAGGAGCATCATCTTAAGCACAGTATAAATTCATTCACTCATTACTTCATTCAAATTGAGCAAACTGAGGAAAAGTGTCAAGTCAAGGTTAATGACAGTACAGTATGACTGTCACAGACAGCTCAGGAAACTATCAGACCAAACCTTCAAGAATAATGTCTTTCCCTATGAATGAGAGCAGGGGATCCTGATTGGTCTTTCAGCCCACATGACATATTTGTTAGCTGTCCTTGGGGAAAATAGCCAATCAGGGACACACATCACATAGAGAGTCTTCCACCTCCTTTGAAAAGCAATAAATTCTCAGTAAAGATACAGGTTCTGTATGGTTAAAATGGAAAGTGTCACTGCAACCCAAGAAACACCAGGTAAGGTATCTGTATTCAGAATCATACAGAACAGAGAGCAGGGTCTGGCTCTGATTCATTTATTTATTCTATCACAGGACTGACATTCAGTCCCTTAGGGTAGTGAGGCAACAGAAGGTCATAACATGGACTTGAATTCAATTTCTAATGATTCCTATTCCAGCTTTGCCACAAAGCATGCCACATTTCTACTAAAGTACAGTAAAGGCAGGGTAAGCTTTTCTTTTTATTTATCACAGTTTTAGTCTTCCTATCTTTAGGACTATGCTGTCTCATAGGACTAGTGTAACTAGAACTAGAGAATAAATAATAAAATGGATATAAAGCACTTTGTTTTGCAAAGTGCTTTATAAAAGGCAAATAATACATGAGGATAAAACTTGCTAGTGTCCCTTCAATTCCCACGCCTTATGATAGTAAAGAAGTCAATTAGAACTACAAAGAAGGAAGTAATGGATACCTTCAAATGTAGAGACATTCCCTTCCATTTTCAAGGAATGGCCCAAGAATGACATAGAATGAGTCAATATCTCATCTACTGTTCACAGAGAAACAAAATAGATTCTGACATCACTACTTATTGGTGTCAACATCCTAAACAGGAGTTTTGTAAAACTGAAGCAGTCACTTAAAAATAATAAAAGAAAATGAGTATGTCGGAGGAAAGGAAGTCTAAGAGGGAAGCACAAAAATGACAGGAAATATAAAGCTAATTTATATTAAGCTTTTTAAAATATTAAGTCATATAAAGCTGATTTAACATTATAAAGTTAAGTGTGTTTAAGGGAAAGAAAACTGCTGAGTCCCCAGGAATGGGGATAGCACACTCATATTCTCCATGATCACAAAGGAAAATGTGCTAAAGGAATAAGTCAGACTCTAGTAGTTCATTCATTTATTTCCACCTGGCCTCAGCATCCCCATAGCTAAACTCAGTAAGGGAGAGTTAAACTGGTTAGAATTCACACAAGAGAAAACAAAGGGAACATAGCAGAGGAGAATCTAAGATCTTCTATTCTTAAAGAGTTCTTTCAGTCTGTATCTGCCTTCCAGAAGCAGTATCTTTTTCCTGATACTACCCAGGGAGCCCTGAAAAATTCCAAGCAGAGACACATGTCAAGCACAAGTTAGAAATGCCATATAAAGAGCATTAGGTAACTATGATCCATTTCCTGTTTCAATAATTTACTTATAGATTTGAAATAATTTCCTTATAAATTAAAAACAACAAACTCAATTTTCTACACAACTGTCTAAAACTACTTGTGAGGGTCTGTTTTCCAATAAACCACATTTCCTGACTATAATTCAAATGAGGGGAAAACTATCTGAATATTAGGATTCAATCCTCTGAAAGGTCCAAAATATGTTTTAATACAGTAATCCTCGAATAGTCTAAGAAGGCAAGTCTCTTGGGGGAATGTTTTGCCTCCAGCTTAGCTCATCTTGAAGCTCTGGGTCTGGCATAGCCTGCATCCTAGATAGCTGATAGCCTAGAGTAAGGAAGGAAAGTCCACTCAGGTTTCACTATTCCAGCTCAGCAGAACAGGTGGAAACCAGGCTGGGAACATTGCATTCTTCCTACTAGTCCATCCAAACAAACTGCCAGCCCCTTGTACTATGTAAACACTCTTGCGTTGGACAAACAAGCTGCCAATAGAGAAAGTGCTCAGATTCTGGAAGTCCTAGTCTCCTATCAAATATCAAAAGTGTGGCAGATATGCCCATCTCCTTTGCAGTCAGGAAGGAGGGGCACATATAATCTGTCATCTGTTGAAAGAAGAGTAAGCAAAGCTTTCTTCCTTTCAAACATTCTACGGTTCTGATGAAACTTTAGAGTACATATATAGAAAGCAATCCTATATAATAAAAGGGTAATATGCAAATCGACCGAAGGGCGGAATGATCAGTCGCTATGATGTGCACTGACCACCAGGGGGCAGACGCTCAATGCAGGAGCTGCCCGCTGGTGGTCGGTGCACTCTCACAAGGGGAGCGCTGCTCAGCCAGAAGCCTGGCTCATGACTGGCAAGCACAGCGGCAGTGGTGGGAGCCTCTCCTGTCTCCATGGCAGTCAGAAATCCCACGAGAGCTCCTGGACTTCAAGAGGGTGCAGGCTGAGCTGAGGGACCCCCTGCCCCCGAGTGCATGAATTTCATGCACTGGGACTCCAGTAACTAATGTTAACCTATTTTTCCAAATTTCAACATATTTCTCAAGCTCCAAATACTGTTACTTGTTCTTTACTTTCGTACTAAGCTTCTCTCTTTACTGCCTGAGTTTAGAGAAGATGGTGATTGCTCCTTTAAAAATGGGTGTTGTCCATTCATTTGGAAACAGTGACTCAGGAATGCTGTTTCACAATCTCTGTAGCAACTGGTTTCTCCCATGTTGTTATGTCAGTAGCAAGACATCTACTCTTCCTCAAGGGTGGACCACCCGTCTGTCACACCCAAGGTCTGGTAGACAGGAAGTTCCTGCACTGACACTGTTTCTACTACAGGCACCAAATAGGAGGCCACCTTGTTTTAAATCCCATTCTCAAACCCTTCATTTCTAAATGATGGTTACACCTTTTTTTTCTCTCTTCACATTATTCCTGAACATCCAGAAATAGTCACAGCCTACTGATAATAGCTTAACTGATCCAAATATTACATTACTACTCAAAAAGCCAGATTTGATCTTATGAAACCACAGTAAACATTTTCTGACCTTTTACAAATCTAGAAGATTTTATTTTGAGAAAATCTTCAGTTGTGGGAGAGCATGGATGAAATATCATTATTCCTCCATCAATACCAGTAATATAAACGAAAGAAAATAAGTTCCTTCTAGTACTTTTAGCAAACATACTTAAATGGAACTATGTCTAACACAAACATATACAGAATAGCATGCCAAAGTACTTAGACTCCAAAATATCATGTATTTTTCTCTTTGGTTCTATTTAAAAAAATAACTATAATCTCTGGAAAACAAGGTAGGGGATTGTTTTTCTATATTTTTATACATATTTATATTTTCTTAGAAAAAATGTGATCATTTTTATAATAAAAATACATTTCCATTTCAAATAAAAGTAGCAATTTTTAAAGATTAGAAAGCTAGGAAACGTTTATGATACACTATTTTAAAAACAAAAAGTGTATAAACTATAATTGCAATATTATAAAATATATGTGCATAAAGATAATGACTAGGATATTCAAGTACTAAGTAAAATGAAAATAGAAATAGGGAATTATTAGATATTCTTATTTGAAAATCTACATATATGTCTTTTCAAAGAAAGGATTAAAAATTATTAGTACAGCAACTAAACGCAACATCATCCAATTCTCATATTCAAAACGCACACCAGCCAATGTCACCCCAATAAATTCCAATTTTAAAAATTCCCACCAGCATTTACTCTTTTCCAGCAGTACTTTGTTTAAGGAAACCTTCTGGGAAGGCACAGTTATAAAATTTAGGGGTGATAATGCAATGTGAGAAAGAATAATGAATAGTTAGTGAAGTCTAAAAGCTAGTTCACCTAATTACATGATCTTGAGCAATTTAGTACCTCTAGGCCTCAATGTCCTCCTCATTTTAAGATGAAGAGGCTGGGTCAAATCATTTCCAGAGTCTCTTCAAAGGCCCTGAAACACTGTGCTTAGTTACTAACTGCTCTTTTTTAGGGCAGCCTAATGCCTGCTGCTTGCCCGATAGTGCATATCCTACAGTGGCTTCTCACCACTTCTTCTTGTGGTTTCAATCACAGGAAACAGACGTCACCCATGGGCCTAGAAGTAACGAACAAGCTCTGGCGGATACGAAGAGCTGCCAACTAAGGCCAACTCCCATCTCTTTAAAATGAAAGAATAATAAAATCACTAGAAACCTCTATGCCTGGGGAGCCTTCATAAAAACTATCACAACTAAAAATATCTCTGGAGTCCCCATGCAAGCATGATGAAATAATTTTGGAACAGTCCAAAATTATTTTGCTTCTATGGCCAAATGAAGGAATTGAAGTAACTCCATAGCTATGGGTAGCTGTATATCAGGTTAAGAAAAAACAACAACAACATACAAAATAGGGCCCTCCTACTGTCACTAACAGTTTTTGTTAAAATCCATATGAATCCTGAGGATGCAAAGACTCGTCCTTGTCTTCTTTATTTAATATTCTATGCAAACCTATCTGTAGCCATGAAAGACTGTGATACTAACAGGTTCATATAATATGGAGACTTAGCAGTCATTCACTTTAAATGTATGTTAACAATCCCTAGAGCACTGGGTCAAATTGCTGTCAATTATAATGATAAAAGTTGGCAGTCCTGTACTGTGGAAATTAATGCAGAGACTTTTAATCTTATAGACATGTTCCTTCATTAAACACAAGACAAAACTATAAGATACTATCTCTACAGAAAAGTAATAATTTTTTCTCAAAGGAGTTCTTTTGGTTGGGTATGGTTACATTAGTGGTTCTCTCTTCCTCACAGTTACCTTGGTGAGAGGATTAATGTTTTCAAAACTGCCACTCTCCTACATTAGACCACAGAAACAGAGAGCCCTGAAAATAATCTCAAAATTCCCAAGACTAACATTAAAACTAAAATACATAAAAGGATATTGCTAACATGAGCTAAACACTACCACTGCTCTTAAGCACCTTACAAGCTAGATAAATTAGACCCTCCAAAATAGACCCTTATTTTGCATTCAAGAAAGACTAAAGAACACCTCAAACAAGCATGCACTCAAAACCTATACTACACTGTACTAGAGAATGTTTAAAGAAACAGAAGGGCCCAAAGATAGGCTCAGATTGTTCACACAATGGCGTTTCCTACCTGAGCCCATAATTTGGCTAGCTGAAGAGAGCCACATCTTTTAAAATCTAATCTCTGGCAATCTGAAAATAGGGATGTATTAAAATTGATAAGGACTGGAAATTAAACAAACTTAGCTCTCTAAACTCCATCCAGGCAGCAGAAATGATTTGCTGAAACCTTAACACACTAATCAATTCATGTTTGTGGATAACTGTCACCATGACACATTCACATGGCCAAAAATTTCATTAACATTCATCATGACGTGCTACAAAATGCTAATTTTCAGTCCTGCTTTCTGCAGGTTTCTATAGAAAAAGAACCTAAAAGCCCTCCCCAGGATTAAAATAATCTCCACGAAGTGGCTTCATCTTTCTTAAATGATTTATCTCCCACTAATCCTCTTGACTTCTATAACTGGGCCTTTTCACTTTACTACAGTCAAACATTCATACCTCTGAGCCTCTATTCACACTCCTCCCCACCCCATGAAATCCCTCCCCCTCTTCTCTACCAATCCTTTGATTTCCTTCCAAGACCCGTCATAGCCCTCATCTCCTATGAAGCTAAAGAGCACTGCCCACAACTCTCTAATTTTACAGAAAAAGACCAAGAAAAGTGGAGTAGCTTGCCCAGAGTTCACATGGTCAAATAGTAGCAAAGTCAGATAAGCACAATATATGTGGAAAGCCTAGGGCAGTGGGAGTGGGAGATAGGGGTGCTAGTCCTAGGTCTCGCTGTAAATTCAGACAGATCACTTCTCTAGGCCCACATTTCTTAATCTATAAATAAAGGGTTTGAACTGAGTAATTTTAGCATCCTTTTCACCTCTAGCAATCTAAGATTCTAAAACCTAGGTCCTCTGACTCTCAGTCCAGTAATGTTTCCACTTAATACCTTCACTTCTCTACAGCTTTTAAAGGCTATGCTTATGGCCTTAAGAGCTTTCCCCACCCATTCTTCTACAAACCTGGCTGATATTACAATCTTTTAAAAAGCAAGGGCTGAACCTAATAAGACAACCACATGACTTCTTGATCTTGAGCCTTTTGGATCTAGGTAGATCCATGTAGATTCAGATTAAGAGAAACTATTCTTTACTCTTTGCCAGTCATACAAAAAAATCCTAGTTCCAGGTAACTGGATCTCTGTGGTAATGTTAATTATTAATCTGAGGCAAATAACTGCAAGATCTAAAGAACAAACTTCTGCAGTTTCCAGACTCAGAAGAGACTCTGAGGTTGGCTATTTGCAATCCTTACAGGCAAGTGTCAGGGCCACAAAAAGAGGACTTTAGGAATGCTATGTGCTAATTCTAAAATACAGAAAAGACACCTATAGAGTCTAGCAACAGCTTCCCCTCCCCCGCCCCACTCTATTTGTCAACACTACTTGCTGCTCAGCAATTTAAACTAAAATTCCTATCTATAAATATTAAAGCAGGTGATGCTGTTCAGGCTGTTTAACTTACAAAAGATAAGGTTACCTTTCAAAATATAGTAGTTTAGACAACTGCTTAACTCATGAGTCAGGGAAAGATAGGTTTTGCATGCACTGTAACAGCTACTTTTTCATATCTATGATAAGAAAGGTTTAACTAAGATTCTTGCAATGGTTTCAAAGTCTAAATTACTAATGCAAAAAGCAGTTAGGCATTTAGCCACTGCACTTTGTACAGCTAGACCCAATATTTCTTTCCTACCAGTTGAACTGGAAGAGAGTCCAGTTTTAATGGACTGCAGTTATCAAAGGACTCTAAAGATCATCAAAACTGTCTAAGAAATTCTTAGCAGTGAATACTCTTTTATACTACACGTGCAAAAACTGGACATATGTAAACTGTCAGTACAATGTGTTGAATAAGAACACAGGTTGGCCTAACCGGTTTGGCTCAGTGGATAGAGTGTCGGCATGCGGACTGAAGGGTCCGGGGTTCGATTCCGGTCAAGGGCATGTGCCTTGGTTGCGGGCACATCCCCAGTGGGGCGTGTGCAGGAGGCGGCTTATCGGTGTTTCTCTCTCATCGATGTTTCTAACTCTATCCCTCTCCCTTCCTCTCTGTGGAAAATCAATAAAATATATATTTAAAAAAAAAAAAAAAAAGAACACAGGTTTTTTTAATCAGCTGGAC